ACATCTATCTATCTATCTATCTGTCTATCTTTCTGTCTGTCTGTCTGTCTGTCTCTCTGTCTGTCCGTCCGTCTGTCCATCCATCTATGATTCTGCGTAAAAAAATTTCACTAATGTAAAACGACCTGTAGGTATTTCGTTGATGTCATTAAAATTCAGACAAGTGGAGAAGTTTCCAGAACATATGTTTTGAAATGCTTCATAAAAACCTTTTCTTCATCATTAAATACCATTTTGAGGGTAAAAAACAAATCTGTATTAAACTAAAAACTTAGACTTCACAATGACTAGGTTCACATTTTGCTGAAGGTCTACTGCTACACAGGGCCCTAGTCAAACCTTTAAAATTTAGGACGATTTGAGGAGTTAAAATACTGATCACTTGTACCAGTACATGTTAGTGATATTCCAGTGCATTTACAGTGTTAACAGCATCCCCTGCAGTTATAATAGTAATCACTACATGATCGTCATATCTAACCTTTGACATGACAGAAGTATCTAAAAATGGTATTAATGTTTTTTTTTTTACTAGATGACCTTTTAATCAGCTTTACTGCAGTCGTATGACTCACTCTTTTTAACAAACAAAAAAGACATTAAAAAAAACAATTTGCCATTTCTCCTTCGAACATCTATAATAACTGATATTTATTCCCTTTTCAGAAAGACCTAACTTTTTCTTGTCATGCTTGTTCCATCAAAATTATAGTATTTTTCTGGAGCAGCAGGATAAAAAGCCTTGTTCAAGACACAGCACGGCAAATGAGTCACTGGAGTCATTGTCTGTGCCGCTCTCACTCTTAAAACTCAAGAGAATATAAAATACTACACATTATCTGGGTTGGGATTTTTTTTTTAGAATGCAACAGCTGTATGTCTGTGTTGTCATGTATGCTGGTGTGAGTTTTGCTGAAGTGTGAACTGTTTTTCTGTCACGTCTAAGGGTGTCTAAGGATGGTAGAAGAGGTTTGGAACATCTTTAATTATTTAAAAAAAATCACCATAAGACACTATGGTTCATATAATTTACACGTAAAGTAAAACAAATTGGAATAACATAAGAAGAGATATGTCTGCTTCAAATAACGAAGAGGAAAGTGAGAGAGGGAAGACTTTGGAAAAGGCCACATACTGTACAGTAGTAAGAAAAGGACTCAATGAACCTCATCCAGTAAAACCCCAGATGAAAGCTGATGGCATTGAAGAAAGGTGGGAATCTGAATCTGGTGGAAAGTTTGTCAAAGTCAAATATGTTGTATATCCAATAATTCTAGTGTCCTTCAACTGATCATTGCTCTAATAATACTAACAGTTGGTACACACGTCTTGTCATTTACACACATTGAAGGAGCTTTAATTACCATCTCAACATTAATCATCTGGATCAGTCAGAAATAAAAACATGGGTGAAACACATATATCTACCTCCTGTTATTTTTTCTTTCTGTTCCTGCAATAAACAGAATATATATACGGTATATATAATATATATATATATATATATATATATATATATATATATATATATATATATATATATATATATATATATATATATATATATATATATATATATATATATATATATATATATATATATATATATATATACATATATATAGACATGTTCATCGACGTCCGTATGTATCTCCCGCGAGTGTTTGAGTTATCTATGTGATTTTCTCTCTATTTTGTGCATTATTCTTCATAATACTGATGAGTCCTAAGAAAGTGAGTGGTAAGGATGGTAGTGAGAAGAAGAAACTCATGATGACCATGATGAAATAAAGCATGAACTCGATAAATATGAGCATGGTGTCCACCAAAGATAATAAAATTATAATAATAAAAATACAAATTGAAAAAATAAGTAAAGTAGTAGGAAAAAAACATATACGTATTTAAGATAATACTACGTTTATGTAAGTTGCATAGAGTACGTGTAAGCTATGTTACGGAATCAAGTGTCTATGTACGGGCCAACTCTCTTCCCTCCCTCCTCCTCCATTAGCCACTACTGTATCATCTGAACTCATAATTAAAAACCCATTTTATTTTATATCACAGGAATTATATACTATCATTTTGTGTGTGTATATGTCTATAGCAATTAAAAACTCATTGTTCCCATTGTTATCAGCACTAATAACGGAGTTTTTTAGAGAGCCAGAAAGGATTGATTTTTTTTCTGTTATTGCTTATAGGAAAAATTATTTGAGATACGAGTTCCACTGTATATATATTTTGGAATTTGATATTTTTTGGATTTATGAATTTTATTCCTCTAAAACCAGGGGTTTGCAACCTAATCCATCAAGTGGGCCCTACTGAAACCCCAAGCGGGCCAGTTTTGGACAGTGCACCTTTTTTGTTTATGAGAATTAATTGCCCACTGTGGCATTAGACGATTTGCCGTGTAGTTTTTTTTTTTAAACAGTTGGTAGATCAATTACAGTGCAACTGAATCTTTGTGTTTTCAGCTGTTCTGTTCACTACTTTTACTCCTGTGCATCTCTGATATCTGTGTGCCGGAGCATATTTATGTCTGTTGTGTCTGATGTATGTGGAACATATTGAATATATCCCTAAGCTTGTGTTGACTTCCGTACAGCTGGGGCCCCAGGGCCACCCATCTGTCTTCAATGTTGGGCACAGCCAGTGTGACCCTGATTGGCAGTCATTATTGAACTCCTGGGGGAGGATACGCCTCATTGGTCTAGAGCAGATTGGAGGGCGGGTGGAAGTGAAGTCTAAAGAAGTGTGTGTGTGTTTGTGTATGTGTTCAGTTTACTGATGAACCCAAGGTCTGCTGTGTTCACTGTGTCACTTGACATGAGTCATGGACAGTAATATGGAAATATGACGTGTTCTGATTACATCACACTGTCCACTTAAATCGACTGTGCCTAGTTTGGTGGTGTTTGCTGCTCCATAGCTTTCTCTGCCACTGGCCATGTGACTGAGCTTCTGTTCACATGTATGTAATTGTGTGTGTATGTGTGATCTGGATGTGGATCTGATCAAGACACTTTAAATGGAAATTTACTTGACATTTAGGAGGAGACGCTATCAGTGCCCATGAGAAAACAAACTGACAAACTCAGAGCTTCCTTGCCATCTTTTCCTCCAGTTTCCTTCCATTCCCCTCAGTGTATATCAGCTTCTTTCACACGTTCTCTCCTTGATACAAATATAACTCTCTGTACGTCCATCCTCCTCTTCCTCGTCTCCACTCACCAGGACATTGTGATTTAAGAATAGACGTCTGATTTCATTTCTGCGTTTTTCTGCATACTTCTTTTCATTATCAAGGTTCATTCACGAACACAGAGAGGGATCTTTGTGTAATAGTGGATTGAGGTAGAGATGCTCTGTTTGTAGGTGTGAAGCTAAGGTGGCAGTATCGCAACAGACAAACCATTTTCACAGTGATATGAGCAGTTGATCCAGATCATGTTCATGAGGGAGAGACCTAATAAATGGACCTGAACGCCCACACTGGTTAACTTTTTAGGGTAATATATTAGAGATTAGTTTTTATATAGAATATTAAGTGTTCAGCAACAGTTAACATTTTAAATTCCAAATGATGCTACATAATCATTTCACTGAGCACAGTTAGAAATTTGAAGAAGTGTGCTGTGCACATATTTTACACTACTTTATGAACAAGCGTGCAATAACATTTGGCAGCGTTTTGATAGCACGGTTTCCTTAACACAGTAGCTGTTAAAATATTTCAACTCATCTCAACTGAAAAATGAATGGCAACATAACAATATGAAATATATGTACTGTATATATTTAAAATAACTGTATATATTTAAAATAAAAAAAAACAAAGCTATTTGCCACTGCCAGGGCATTAACATTTTATTTAGTTTGTTGCAAAACACAGCTAACCCTCAGAGTAGTACCACATTCAGAACATTATAGATTAGTTTACCTTATATGAAATTGCATTGATCCCTTTAGGAAATGTCCTCAGGGAAATAAAATAGAACTGTTATGATTCCATTCTTTCTCTAAGTGACTTTTCTAGAGCCCACGTTTTCTTAAATTTTTATGTTTATATTTTATATTTTTTCTATATTATATATTTTTTACTTCAAAGTAACTTCACTCAAAATTCTTTTTTTTTTATTTGTGGTCAACCCACTTAATGACAACGTTTTAAAGAAGACTTTTAGTCTCAATGCATTTTTTTTTCAATATGAAAACAAACCAAAAAGCAAAGAAACAAAGAAACAAAACATAGCTGCCTTTGACCATTTAAAGCAGTACTTCTCAAATAGTGAAGCAGGTCCACCTGTCCTTGTTCACAAGGACAAAATCCTTGTGAACAAACAAGGATTTTGTCAGTTGTTGTTTGAATCACCTCCCCCCTCTCTCCTTCCTCATCCATCCATCTATTCATTTATTCTTCCATCCATCCATCCATCCATCCATCATCCATCCATTCAGTTATTTATACATCCATCTATCATCCAACCATCCATCTATCCATCCATCATCCAACCAACCATCCATCCGTCTGTCCATCCATTCAGTAATCCATGAATTCGTCCATATATCATGCAGACAAACAACCATCCGTCCATCCAACCACCCATCCATCATCTAAGTAATTGTTAACTTATTAGCTCTACCCTTCTGTAACAACCTACATTTCTTGACTGCTAGACGTTGAACATGTGAACCTTGTGTATGACACAAGCTTAAAGCAGTCCTCCTCTGCCTGACTGTTGAAAAAATTTAATTTATTATCATTGCTTCATGCTGTACTGTCACTTTAAGAAACTGTTTGCTTCTCATATTATAATCTAGTGTGCTCAAGACTGATGGAGAAATTACCAGACACAGCCACACCCACATTCACACCCACCTTCTTACTCCATACCCATTCATATACTCACACACGATCACATGATACGTAATCTGATGCTTTTGTAAACTAAATAAAAGAGCAGAGGAAGGGTGCAGCAACTCGGAGTTAATGAGGAAGCTGCCAGCAGAGCAAGCTGCACTCTCCCCTTGCAAGTAAAAGATCCAGACATCTTTTGTGTTGTTACTTTGCCGTCACATATGTTAGAATAAACCTAACATAACTTGATCCTTCGAGCAGGATGCCAACAAATTAAGCAGAACCTAAGGATCGGGTGGAGAACGACTGAAAACCGTGGATGGAAGTGAACGGAAGACCTGTACCTGAAGGCCAGTACTCCGACACCTGATCCTAGGCTGCTAATTGATGGCACCTGATACCAGAATAAGATCGACGACGAGGGTGAGAAACAACTTTTTATTACCAGCGCGTGGTTGAAAAATGGGTTGGAATCCCTGGGCAGTAATCCCTAAATGCTGAAAGTGGGTTGGAGTCCCTGGGCAGCAGTCCCTAGAGTACAAAAGGCCTAAAAAAAGAGTGAATGTGTGTGATTGAGAAGGAATTGTGATCAAATCGGCGGGCAGTCTGAGGGAAAATTTAACCAAGAAGACTGCAAAGATCTTGTGCTTGGCAAAAGATAATAACAAAAAGAAGAGAAGCTTGGGTGGAGTGCGACTGAATGTTGGCTTAAACAAGCTTGTGCAATAAAAAAAAAAAAAAAAACGGAATAGAACTAAAACAACTAAAAACAAAAGCAATGCGTCAAAACAAAAATCCACAATCAAACGTGAGAAAAAACAAAACTATGTATGTCAGACCTGAGGACAATGAAACAATAGCATCAAACATACATAAGAACCGAGAGTGTGATGATAAAACGTCTCCACTTTTAGATGATGCTGAGATAAAAGCAGATATAACATGTGCTGATACAATAACTCAACTTTCAGATAATGCAAATACAGAAGAATGTATGACATGTTCTCAACCCTCCCCTCCCTCCCAACCTTTGTATCCAAATTTAAAACCCGTGGACAAA